GTTTGATGCTGCAGACAACAGTTAGCCCACTAATTTAAACCTATCTTTTATGTTGGTGAGGTGTAGGAGCCCAAAGAAAATTCCCATTAGCTGTTAGAATGCAGTATGGATACAGTCATAGTATTGGTAAATAGACAGTGATGGATTCCTGAGAAATGGATTCCTTTTAGATGGTTTGCATTTTCATAAATCTGCATAGAAATACTTAACAGACCTCCCCATCCAAACACTGTGTGTTCTGTTTTATTTTTGCAATGGGAAAATAGGATCTCTGAAGCAGTGCTGCAGCTAATATGAGGTTTCTGGGGGCTTGACTTTGCCAAGTCTTCTAGACATCCTTTAAAGTGTCAACCTGATTTGATAGAAAACGACAACAACTAGCAGGCAAAATGTCATGACACCTGTTGGAGAGGAGAATAAAGGCAAGGATCCAAATTATATCCTTTAAAATCCCCCCACTGTAGCAAGAATGTTTTGTTATCAGGCCTCAAATTTAACTTAGTAAGATAATCAGATCAAGTGAAGATTTTGGTTTATATTAGATATTTATTTCTAAAATTGTTTCATAGGAAAGCCACAAAAAAAAGAAGACAGTTCTAGCGAAACTGATTTCTTGCATATGGATGTTTGTATTTTAAGATAAATTGAGTGGTTAAAACCCTGCATAAATTTTTCAAACCCACTTTATGCAGTTCAGAGTCTCTGGGGATGGAGCATAACCTTGCACTTTAAACGGGTCACAGAGCCAGTTACTAAATGTAGAAATTTTCATAACTTTGTCTCAGAGTAGACTCAGATGACGTACTATGTGAGGCATAATAGGTTTCTTTTAATGAAAAAAAGTCAAGTTAACTTAAAAGAAGAAAACAGTAAACTAGACATGGAGACAGAAGGCAAAGAAACATGAAATTCTTCTGCAGATGCATTAAAAAACAACAGCTAAAAAAAAAATGACGGTAGAAAGATTAATTTTCAAGGTTATGGTTGCATTCATTCATTTGCTCTATTTATTACTCTATGTTTGCATTTCTTTACTTATTATATATCATTCTTAAAATAATACTGCAAATCAAATTGCTCACTATGTTGGTAGAAATCGCTTCCCCCTCAGATAAGAAGTTACATGTAAATCTAGTAGATTAGTAGAAAAATAATGAAGTCATCAGTCACACCATGCATGTTGCTGATGTACATGCAGATATTGGTACTTTCTGCGTTTTGGGGTCAAGGGGCTTCAGGAAGTTTGTCAGAAGGCCTTCAAATAGTGAATTTAAGTCAAAACACTGATTTTATAAGATCTGTTTTTTGCAATACAAAGAATTATGGTAATGTTGTCTTGTGCTAAAGAGTAAATGCCCCTGAATGGATGTTTCAGTTAATATAGAAAATATATCCATGTAAAAATATTGACAATTTCTCAACAACTTAATATAATTTTTGTCCCACTCATATACTTATACTTATAATTATAAATTATTTCAATTTATCATTCCTTCCAGAGATAAATGGAGTGCCATCTCTTTCTCAGATTTTCTCTGGTTTAGTTTCTGTTTTGTTTAGTTCTGGAGCTAAGCTCCATGACTAAAGCTCAGATTACTGCGAAAAACCCTGTGCTTGCATCCTGGCAAGGGCCTTTCTTTATGGTTATTCCAGGTACCCTTGCGTCCTCACAGAGTGATGGACTGGTGACCTGTCCAGGTTTGCATTGCTTCCTATTAAATGAATACTGCAGATAGGCACAAGCTTCCTATGATCGTGCAATAATTATGCAGGTGTAGAAATAGAATTGTCTGAAGTTCTGTATCAGAGAAATGTTAAGTAGGCCTACACTCAAAGCATTCTTGTTAAACAGTTTTTCTTCCCAAAACCTTTGGGATTTTTTTCTTTCTGGCTGATCATAGAGAATGCTATACGTTTATTGCATCTGAGGAATTCCTTTTCATCTGTAATGAAAATGTGTGTAATCCTGGTTTGCTTTGTGAGAATGTGAACACCTGTGTGTTATAAGATGTGGCAAAAAGCTGCACAGTGTCACCAGACATATTGCAGCTAAAGTTTGACACCTCTCTAAATCTGTGCACTGGTTCAAACCTAATGTTTGATCCTGGAGCTAACATGTTCTTATCTCACTGAAGTAATTTTTTTTATCAATCAGTTAATTGTCAATTAACTTAACTGAAATGAATACAGAGGGAGCTAGTGATGACAGCATAAAGTTCCTGGGCATTCAAAATTCCTCTGACCTCTCCCAGACTGAGAACACCTCCCACTTGGTGAAGAAATCCCATCAAACACTCCTTTTTTCTCAGGAAGCTAAAACGGATGGGATTTTCTGCTGAGCTGCTAACATCCTTTTACAGGGTCACAACAAAAAACATTGTGGGTCACGCCAGGACATTGTGGTATGGGAGAAGGGTGACAAGATGTTCCGTTTGTGCCGGACTGTGCAGCATTTTCACTTCTATCTTGCTTTTCCTTGAACTGAAACAATATCCTGCATGTGACTGAGTCATATTAGAAAAAGAGTCAAAAAAGTTTATTCAAAGGTACTTTTCCTAAATGCAAAGACAGCAGAGCTGTAGTCAGTGTCACAGAGCTGAACCTCTGCCCCAGGATTACCGAGCTGCACACAGTGCTCTTAAAACACAGCAGTTTTTGTTTTTTTTAAAGCCAAGCAGAATCTTACTCATGCAGTATACATTTATTCTTATGAACTGGAAATCAAAGTCAAATATCACATTGGAAAAATGTAATGCTTCCCTATTACTTAATAGTGTCCACTTAAGTATTTTATATTCAGAATTTCTTTCCTCCGTCTTTCTTTGGAGAGGTCCTCTCCATGCAGCCGCCCTATCTTGGTAGGTTGCTTTCATTTTAGTAAACTCTCATTAGTTCAGCTGTGTCCAGATTCCATTTGACAAAGAGGCTTAAGCCTGTCTTTATTTTATTTTATGTTATTTTTTGGTGTTTTTTTTTTTTCTTTTTGGTTGCATATAAATATTGTTTTAATTTGCAAGGAATGAAGAAACAAACTCAGGAAATTAAAAAAGGGAATAGGACAGGTAAAGGATCTTCATACAAATTATGATGATAACCACCTTTAAGGTTGAAATGTAACCACAACAAAGACAGGAACTAGTTTCTAACAGGTAGAGGTCAGGGAAAGGTGATTCTTACAGGTTTTTGTAAAGTTTGCCAAAGTTTTTTTTTTTTTTTATTTCAATTTAATAGGAGGAGAGCATGATGTAAAGCATCACTGTAAAAGTGAATCGCAAGAGAGACACACGGCTGACAAACAGAGGAATGTATTAGCTTAGGTTGTGAGTTCAGGAGAAAGTATTGTGGGGTGCCTTTGGCATGTTGTATGACCCCAGAAAATGGTCGACACCGTACTGCAGATCCCACCCACCTCAGCTATGCACAACTTGTCCCATTTTCAGCAGGAAAACGATTCAGGGACATTGCATCAAAACTAATAGACCCATCAGCAGCTTAGGCAGACGATAAAAATCCCTGCTGAATATTATAGGAACCTCCGTTCACGTTTCAGAACAAGTTGCATTTTATGCAATTACTAAATGCCACACTTCATGTTCTTGTTTTTCACATTTCTAAGCCTCCTCCAAGGATGCCCATTCTTCATCCTATTGTACAAATATTTTTAACTTAAGGCTCTGTAATGTATGTTCATTTTGATTCCGAGTCTCCAAAATATTCTATTACGGTAAAAAACACAAAAATAGTCTTGACTCAAGATTTAAAACAGCTGTCAGTTTTCAAGCTATAAAAATCTGATTATCTTTCAAGGGCAAACTAGCAAAAATGTTAGAAAGTGCTAAACATTTTGAAATATCCAGCGATATTGTGTTCTCACTTTTATTTTATATTACCAATTATGACAGTATAGCACAGCTATGTGTTCATGCCTGGACACACAGAGAAGGTAGAGCTTTTTTTTTACTAAGCTCAGACAAATAAGAAAAGTGTCCGAGCTTTGTAGAATAATAGTTCAAGAGAAGAGGATTCCCTGGACTCAAATACAGTTTCTCTGATCTTAATACTTTTCTTATTTAATAAAAAATATTTGTTTTTAGGTGAACAAAGTGACCAAAAATTTAGGGGGAAACAAACAATATATATATATATATATATATATATATATATATATATATATATATATATATATATATATATATATCCATCATGCTGACACCCATGAATAAGGGAGACTTTCAACACTTTCTTCACTTAACCACTGCTTGGGTGGTTAAGTTAAAAGCGAATAAAATATTCTCCTGGCACTTTTTTAATGAAACAGGAATTCAATATCAGTTAGAAGTGGAGCAAAATTTTAATCCTTCATATGCCACTGGCATTAATTATCAAAAAATGGCTTTTCTGCTGTCAGTGAACACATCTGCTGACTTTCTTCTCTCAACTCATAGATTTTTCTGTTATTAGCTAACTTTACAACTTGCATATTTCACTATCATAATTTTGTTGGCCTTTTATACAGGAATTGATGCTCATTTAACCAAATTTTGGGTACTCTAAGCTGTGCTGTTGGTTTCCTTCTGTTATTAATTTTTAGACATATTGTTTTTAATTAAGAATTATGCTTATATCTGCACTGTAAAAGTCTGTGTATAGAGCAGCTAAACATAAAAAAAATCATAGGTATAAATTATATCTACTGTTTTCAACCCTAATTTCACTGTTAAACCCTTATTTTCCTTACAGGTCATTAAAGAAGTCCACTGTAACAATCTTCTCCCTTTCTTGATTCCAACTTCTAATTCAGTCTTAGCCTTTTCTGTTGTTTTTAAAAGAATGTGATGCAAGTATATCTAAATCTACTGAAACCTTATTGAGACCTCTTCGCTCCAATTCTTCAGGATTCATCTTGTGCTCCGGTGACGCACGACCCTGTAGGTGGGCAGACAATTTATATAGCTGCCAGAAAACCATCAGCACTCAGCAGTCGGTGTCCTCCGCTCCAGATGGAGGACCAGTTCATTCCTGCGTTAGAGGACAGCAGAGCTTTGCTCCTAAATGTCTCCAAGGTGATGGTGGACTCCGGCGCGGAGCGGCACCAGTACGCAGTCTGGCTCCCCGGCATCGGGATCGCTGCCGTCTACGGGATGATCATCCTCGTGGGTCTGATCGGGAATGTCACGCTGATGAAGACGTGTCTGCTGGTGAAGTCCATGCGCACGGTGCCCAACCTGTTCCTGTCCAGCCTGGCTCTGGGGGACCTGTTGCTGCTGGTGACCTGCGCCCCTGTTGATGCCAGCCGCTATCTAGTGGACGAATGGCTGTTCGGGCGCGTGGGCTGCAAGCTGATCCCCTTCATCCAGCTCACCTCGGTCGGGGTCTCCGTTTTCACCCTGACTGCGCTCTCTGCTGACCGGTAAACCTGACTGGAGCTGCTTTAATATCTGTCTGACCGTTTACTTTTATTTATTTATGATAAATTACGGTGTTTACATTTTTCTTCTTCAATAATGCAGCAATGTTTAATTCCTAAACATCAAACATTGATGCTCCAGGAGTGCAGAGGCGCCCCTTCAAAGTTTTGGGTTGGATAATAATGTTGGTTTGGCATAAAAAAAACACAATCTAGAGCAAAATCATCTCAGGTTTAGGTAAGCCTAGATATGGTGCTATGGGTGCACTCAAAATATTACTAAATCAACTTAAGGATTTTATAAACTTTCATTAAATCTGCAGCTTCCAGTTGTTTTAACCCTTTAAAGCCTAATATATCATATTTGATACCCGAGTTTTTGAAACCTCTGTATCATCATTGTGATGCTTTTGTTCTTGAAACCCTGAATTACATAATCAGACACATGTAGTGAACAGAAAACATATAAAAGATGATAAAGAAATGTGTAATGTATCAAAATTGATACAAATTAATTATGTAATTTAATGTATAT